CAAAAAAAAAAAAAAAAAAAAAAAAAAAAAAAAACACCCCTGATACTACATACAGAATCAGCATTTGATTATGGGAAAGTTAGTTGTAAGAGGAGACGAGAAGAAGATGGAAGCTTTAGAGTAGAGTAGAATTTTCAGTTACTTAGATGTAGATGGTTAGAGTTAAAGGTAGTAAAAGATGAACTCCTTCCTCAAGTACTGTATTAAAGAAAAACCTATACTACTTGCTACTACTGGAACTTAAGAAGAAAAAGTTCTGTCTTTAGGGTATTTACAAAAAATTGAACAGTTGTGTTCCTTTGTGGATCTTTGGAGAATATTAGAACACATTGTGTGAATTGAAGTAACTGCTGAAAGAGTTTTGAAAAGTATTACTTACTTTCTTGCCTCATAGTTGTGTTTACATGTTAAGACAGATTCCGCTGATTCAATTCTGCCCTGTACACTTTAGACACTGAACCATAGCCTAAGGCCTTAAAATGTTATTGAACAGAATTTCAGCTCAGATCAGTTACAAAGTGCTCCGGCCCATGGGTTATTATAGATTCATTATTTCCTTTTAAGAGGTGTGAATCTTACAGTGGACATCTCTGGTCGTTTTAGGTGGTTTTAAGAAATGTAGCTGGCATTTTGAGGGGGATGCATCCTTGAGTAGGAAAATGTCTTAAATTGATTTTCAGTACTATTTCAGTCAGCACTTTGAACTGCTCTTAGGTATCTGATACCATTACATTCTTGTGGTCGATAACTTTCCCCTTTTTGTGCCTTACTTCACAAGTTAAAAATGCTTTCTTTCCATAATTATTTTGGTATGTATATTTTATCTCTGATCCAGCGTACTGCTGCATACCTGGTAGATTTTCAGTGGAAAATGATTTGAAGAGCCAAAGATACCCACATGGCCCAGTCATTCCAAGACTCATTCCCCGTCTTCACTTCAGATTCAGCTTAAAATCAACACTCAGAGGCCTCTAAAACCACCTTCCCTGTATTAGTCTGTTTTTGTTGCTTATACCAAAGTACACTGAACTAGGTGATTTATAAAGAAAATGAAATTTATTGCTTACAGTTTCTGAGGCTGGGAAGTCCAAAGTCCATCTGGTGGTGGCAACAGCCACCCAGGGGTCTCACATTGCAAGATGATGGAAGCAGAGAGGGTAGAGAGAGAAAGACAGACTCTCCTCTTATTTTAAAGCCCTCAGAACCACGCCCCTGACCACCATTTAAAATCCATTCACTACTGCATGGTCCTACAATCCAATCACCTCTTTAAGGCTCTACCTTTCTTTGTCTTTTTTTTTTTTTTTTAAGGCTCTACCTTTCAATTACCATAATAGGATTTCCCATCGTAACAATCACAATGGGGGCTAAGTTTCTAATACATAAAACTTGGGAGACAATTCAAGCTTGTATAGTTTTGGGGGGACATAATTCAATCCACTATGCTCCCTAAATGATTCCGTTGCCGGTCCCTGGTACGGGTGCGACACCGAGGGTTGTGATCCCATTACCGGTCAGTAAAAAAGACAAAAAGGGAAAAAAAAAAAAGAAATAGGGAACATGAGGAAAGAGCAGATTTAAGAAGGAAGATTAGTTTTTAATTCTGAGCATGTTATTTGGAGGGCTAGCATTTGAGTGGAGAAATGTGGTAGGCAATTGGAAAGCTACCAAGGCCTAGGATTTGGGAATTATTTGCAAAGTAGTTTTTGAAGCTCTATGATTTCAAAGGAAGAGAAGAGAGTATGTGGAGAAACAATGGAAAATAGCAAATTCTTGGGAAATACCTCGTAAGAGGATGGGAAGAAAAGCCAAAGAATGAACAGAAGCAAATAGGAGAACCAAGAGAGAACAACATTGGAAAACCCAAGAAAATGTTTTTTTCAGGAAGAAGTAAGATTCAAACCTGTTTTCTTCGGAAGGGACTCTGTTGTAACCTTGGGAGTGTGATGTGTATTTTTTTTATCATCTCATATGTTATTCTGCTATACTGTTTAGCATAGTTCTTTACACATAGTAGGATCTCAGTAATTTAGCATATCTTAAGGGACTCATGGGCTCTTCCTCCCTATCTTTAAGGATTACTATTTGGCTGAATGTTATATAGCTCAGGTTCAAGCCACTCACTGATTGTGCAGTTTAGTGTCCTGCTGAAGATTTGAAAGTAAATTCACTGGGAATAATTTGTACTTTGCAGTTTTTTTTTTTAATCAAGTTATCTGTTTCATATTCTATTTGTGATTATATTCTTTTTCTTTTTGGTGCTGGCCAGTCCAACCTTGGTATTATAAGACCTGTTTGTGGTATATTCTTGATCTTGTCTGTATTTGAATCTTCTTTGGCAAATGGTGGAAGTCCTAACGAGCAATAATCAAAGGATCTCAAAGTGCAAGGAGGAAAACAGTTAATAGGGGTTAGGGATAGGCTAAGTGCATGTATTTTTATCTTACACTTGAGCTATTTGGTATATGAATTATTTTAGACTGTCTTCAGAGAATATTAATTTGATCACTTTTGATAAAATCAAAGAGGAAACTAGAAAGGGAATAGCTCAGTATAAGAAAGAAGACAAACACCAAAAAACTGAAGCTGATTTGTGGAAAAGCTGATTAGAAAGATTTCAGCAGCATTTTGCAAAAGAAAGCTAAAGAGACTTGGTTAATCTGCTGCTGCATTTTATCCAGGAAAGACGAAGATAGTACTGATGTTGACCCTCAAGTATAGTGTAAACAAAGAGAAATCTATCTCTGATAAAGAGGATTTTTGAGCAATCAATAATATATAAATTTATAATTCATTTATAGGAAATAGACTTTTGAATATGTAAATACAAATTATTGAGGCAAGGGAAAATAAGCGAGTATAATTTGTAACTGGTTTGATATATAACAGTATCTGAAGCATCTATATCCTGTTTTGTATGACAGTATCATTAAAAATAACAAAGATAAAATGATCAAAGTACATACCTAAAAGTACAGACGTCATCTGATGTGTTAAATTTGGTACTGTATAGCATCTCTATAATCACATTCATTTAGCAGAGGTTATTAGAACAAAGTTAACTAGTTGTTAAAAACAGTACGAGTGGGGCTGGCCCGTGGCTCACTTGGGAGAGTGCGGTACTGATAACACCAAGGCCACGAGTTTGGATCCCACATAGGGATGGCCGGTTAGCTCACTGGTTGAGCATGGTGCTGACAACACCAACTCAAGGGTTAAGACCCCCTTACCGGTCATCTTTAAAAAAAAAAAAAAAAGAATACTAGCATATCCACTTATATGTAGAAATTTTTATGTGGTTTGGATGTTAGCATTTCATTTTTGGTAAAGGAAGAGGGGATGTTTTGTAAAATTTACTTCTTTAAGGTCTGATTTAGTAAAAACATTTGTTAAATCTGGATATTTAAATAGTTCTTTTTATTGAGAATTTTTATTTGTCTTTAATTTGGATGAGTTGAATAATGATAAATATATGTATTTTTAAAAATTTAGAACAGTTTATGCAAATCAGGAAATAAGTATTTTGCTTTTCTAACATTTCCTTTCTCTTGTGGTTGAATGTTTATAGCAGTGTACAAGCTCTAACATTTATTTGTTGATTTCTCTTAGCTGTTATCTTAAAAAAGTAAGTTGGTTCATGTTCAGAGTTATTAAGTCTTATTAATTTAAGATTAAAAGGTCTGGGCCGGCCCAGTGGCTCACTGGAGAGTGCACCACTTGGGAGCGCAGCAGCGCTCCCGCCGAGGGTTCGGATCCCATGTGGAGACCGGTTCCCGCTCACTGGCTGAGCGTGGTGCGGGCGCAACACTGAGGGTTGCGATCCCGTTACCGGTCAGTAAAAAAGACAAAAAGGAAAAAAAAAAATTTTTTTTCCTCTTATTTACTATGTTTTACATCTGATTGAGTGGAGAGGATAGGAATGGACCCAGTGAATGCAACAGTCTTTCTTCCATTATATTCACATGTGTCATATGATGTTATAGCAAAACGGTTTCTGAAGCCCTTTGAACAAAGATAACAATATCACAGAGCATTTAATATTGTCAACAGCACATTCCTTCCTCTCTTCCCTAGTTCTCTATATCTTTGAGTAATATTGGCCAGAAAGTATATTTGAAGAGGTTCTTTCTAAATGTATTTTAATGTTCATGTTAATTAGACATCTTGTATAGTAAATTCAGTACCTATAAAATAATTTTGTCTTTATTTAATTATTGCACTTCTGATCACTTGTAGGCGAAACCTAACCAAACTGTCCCTGATCTTCAGCCACATGCTGGCAGAACTAAAAGGAATCTTTCCAAGTGGACTCTTTCAAGGAGACACATTTCGGATTACTAAAGCAGATGCTGCAGAATTTTGGAGAAAAGCTTTTGGGGAAAAGTAAGTCTCAAGATAATGAATTTGAGCTATGAAAAACTAAAGCTTATGTTGTGAGTTTTTATTTAGTGTTTTATTAATGAAATATTTAAAACATGGGAAAGCTTTTGAGAACAATAATGAATATATGTGTATCTACTTCTTCCCAAAGAATACAGAATGTTTTTACAAGCTTTAGAAAAGTTAGTTTAAAATACAAGCTTTTAGTTAGTAGTAATGGTCTGGCTACAGATTTCATTTATTTTATTAAAAGGATAATCTCATCTCTCTTTTTGTGCTTCTCTAGTAGAACAAATGTCTAAAGATGAGATTCTAACACCAAGTTCAAGGGTTTGGATTCCTGTACCAGCCAGCTGCCAAAAAAAAAAAAAAAAGAGAGAGACAGATGAGAAAAGGGATTAATTTGTTTTGTGACATTTTGCCAAAGAATATCATGAAAAGATTTCTCTGTTACTAATTTACTGATTAGAAAGTTAAGAAATATATCCTTTACTCCTGCCTTCTTTCTGTTCTCAATCCAAAATATAGCTCAGCCTCTTTAAAAGAATTGAAATTGATATTGAGAGCTTAGTGTGTAGCTTTTTCTTTTTCTTGGTTATAGCAGTGCCTGGAATTATACGCAATCTCACTTTGTATCCTTTCTCCCACCCTCACTCCAGGACAATAGTCCCTTGGAAGAGCTTTCGACAGGCACTACATGAAGTACATCCCATCAGTTCTGGACTTGAGGCCATGGCTCTGAAATCCACTATTGATCTGACCTGCAATGATTATATTTCAGTTTTTGAATTTGATATCTTTACGAGATTATTTCAGGTAGTATACTTAAAGTTGAACTGGTTACTGCTGCTTTTCTGAAAAGAAAGCTTTTTAAAAAAATAACATTTGGGGTTTTGTCTATTATCAAAATATTTTAATTCACTTTAGAAACAGTAAAGATTAAAACTACACTGTATTATGTAGATAAATATATATTAAAAATAATAACCATACAATCTGCTTTCTTCTCCTCACATCTTTCTTTGTAATTGAATATTCTTTTGTATCATTTTCATGGTTGTAGAATGGCCAGAAAATGGGTGTAATATAACATATTTTATTTATTTATTTTTTATTTTTATTTATTTATTTATTTATTTTATTATTATTATTTTTTTAAATTTTATTTTGTCGATATACGATGTGGTTGATTATTGTGGCCCATTACCGAAACCTCCCTCCCTCCTCCCTCTCCCCCCTCCCACCCAACAATGTCCTTTCTGTTTGCTTGTCGTATCAACTTCAAGGAACTATAGTTGTTATGTCTTCTCCCCCCCCCCCCCCCCCGTTTGGGTTTTTTTTTGTGTGTGTTTTTTTTTTTTTTTTTTTT